CAGAAACAATGAGGATTATTTTTTTCTTACCTGAAGCAGAAGGACTAAGGAAAGTGATGATAATAGATTGAGCTAGAGACATGGATCAGTGTATAAGAGCCTGCCATCACCTTCAGCCCTGACTCTGATCCACATTGCTCAATGAGAAAACTGCCTTCTGTAGTTGTCCTCTGACCTCCATGTGACACATGTGAGTGTACACACATAAAGAAAAAATAAGTGTAATATATTATTATCACACACATGCAATTTAAAGACTTAAGTATAAATAAATAAATAAGTGTAATTTAAAGTTGGAATGGAAAGTACACATATCCAAACATAGCAGAGAGCCAGAGACAGCAGTCCACATTTGGAACCCATAACTGTAAACTATGAGGAAGAGGATTATAAATTTTATTCCAGACAGATGTACACAGTGAGACCCTTCTGAGAAACCTTCAAACATTTTGAATATGAAAAGTATTTCACATAAAACATGTGAAAAGAAATAAAATAAACACATATTTAAATTTGTATTTTTTAGGTATAATATTCATACATGTCTGCTACATGGTAAGAAATCTGGTCCTGAAAAATATGAGGACAGATGAGACAGACACGAATGGGGTTATAAAAATGTCATCCATCAAATGTTGCCTGAAGAATCTACTGCCTGACCTAGCCACAGTATTGGGGAAGTCAGAGTCTGGTGCCTGAGGAGGGCAGTTCCCCTTCTTGTGGGGCTGCTCCATTACAACCCTGTCATGGGGAGTTCCTGCCTCCAGGGGTCATAACGTAAATCTCATGTTCCTCCAGGCAGTCTCTGGCATTCTCACCAGGAGCACAGTTGTAGCCTACAGGAGGAGATACCATGACCTTCACCTTCACAGCCCTGCTCTGTCTGGGTGAGATGTGGAGATGGGGAGGGGATACCATTGTCTAGAAATGATGCTGCCCCAACACTCAGCACTGGCCCATCAGGAAAGCCCTGGGTCTCAGGGGACTGAATGGGGAGGACTTGCTCAAGCTTCAGGGACAAACCTCTCACAGGGAACTCTCTTCCAGGACTGACTCTGGACCTCGGGACCCCAGTGCTGACAGGTGAGTGAGTGTCTGCAGATGTCCTGACCTGCAATTCTCATCATCCCCAGGAGCCCTGCCTGGGCAGTGAAGATGGAAACAACGCACGTGCGCTGGGGGTGATGAGGAGTTGGGAATGGGGTTGCAATCTTAGGATGCCTGTACTGAGTCCTAGCTGCTCTTTTCTTGCAGAGACCCTTCCTAAGCCTGTCCTCAGAGCACAGCCACACTCTGTGGTCTCCAAGCAGAATAAGGTGACCTTCTTGTGTGAGGGAGCCACAGGAGCCAAAGAGTATAGATTTTATAAAGAACTATACCAAAATCAATGGCAGAGAGAGATTTCACAGAACCCTAAGAACAAGAATGAATTATCAATCTCCAAATTAGGCTATCACCATGCAGGGCAATATCACTGTCAATATCGGACCCTTAATGGATGGTCAGAGTATAGTGACTCCCTGGAGCTGGTGGTGACAGGTGAGAGGACAGTCTGTTCAGTAAGTATGTCCACCTTTTATAATCATGGAACATAATGAGACTATTGAGGACATTTAACTGATTCTTCCTTCTCTCCTAGGATTCTACAGCAAACCCAGCCTGTCAGCCCAGTCGAGGCCTGAGGTGACTGAAGGAGGGAATGTCACCCTCCAGTGTGATTCATGGCAGGCATATGACTGCTTCATTCTGACTAAGGAAGGACCACAGCAGCTGTCCCAGACACTGGACTCACGGTGTAACTCCTATACTTGGCAGTACCAGGCCCAGTTCTCTGTGGGCCCTGTGACCTCCAGTCAAAGATGGACATTCAGATGCTACAGCTATAACAAGAACAGCCCACTGGTGTGGTCAGAACCTAGTGATCCCCTGGAGCTCCTGGTCTCAGGTGAGGAACCCTAGCTTTTCCCTGGAATGATGCTGAAATGATATAGGTCTCAGAGAGGCCTTGGTGCGTGGTGTGTGTGAGCAGCCAGGGCTCCTGAGTCCATTAACACAGAGCATGGACGACAGTGGTCACAAATACAGAAGCCAAGGCAGACAGTGACAGCAAAGCCCAGGAGATCCAGGACAGATGAATCTTCATGGAGCCTTGTGTTAACTCTGGATCTCAAGAACCATCATCCACAAGAGCACAAGTAAACCCAGAAGAGAGGGAGGAGCCAGAGCTTCAGGACAACAGGATAACAGGGCCCAAGGAGGCAACTAAGCAGGGATCATGAGAGCTCACAGAGACTGAAGCAGCAACCACAGAGCCTGCGTGGGTCTGCCTTAGACATATGCTGCAGTTGTTTAGCTTGAGGGGTTTTTTTTTCCTTTTTTTCCTTTTTTTTTTAATTTATTAAAGATTTCTGTCTCTTCCTCACCTCCGCCTCCCTTCCCCTCCCCCTCTCCCAGTCAAGTCCCCCTCCCTCGTCAGCCCAAAGAGCAATCAGGGTTCTCTGCCCTGTGGGAAGTCCAAGGGCCACCCTCCTCCATCCAAGTCTCCTAAGGTGAGCATCCAAACTGCCTAGGCTCCCACAAAGCTAATACGTGCAGTAGGGTCAAAAACCCATTGCCATTGTTCTTGAGGTCTCAGTAGTCCTCATTGTCCTCTATGTTCAGTGAGACCTGTTTTAATCCAGGCTTTTCAGACCCAGGCCAGCTGGCCTTGGTGAGTTCCCGATAGAACATCCCCATTGTCTCAGTGTGTGGGTGCACCCCTCGCAGTCCTGAGTTCCTTGCTCATGCTCTCTCTCCTTCTGCTCCTGATTTGGACCTTGAGATTTCAGTCC